TACCAGGTTGAGCTCGGTTCGAGCCAGAACCTTGAGCTCGAGCTCGATTCATTTTATATTTTATAAAAATATTTTACTATATATTTTATTATAAAAATAAAAACTATATATAATTTTATTATTTTATATTTAAAAAATTAAGAATTATAATAAGTTTATTATATATATTATTTTCTATAATTTTATTATATATATATATATATATATATATATATATATATTCGAGTCGGCTCACATGCCTCACGAGCCGAGTTCTAGTAGACTCGAACTCGACTGAAACCGAGCCAAGCCGAGCTCGAACAGCTCGTGAAAAGCTTTGCCACCCCTAATGCTCACACTATTCACATAGCATTTTACACCATGCATTAGGAATATCTATATACTTATATATATATATTTTTTATGAGAAATATTTTCAATGCAAGGCTGTAAGTGACTGTGCGAACATAAGCATGCACAGATGCAAGGCTGCAAGATATTTCTAATTATAAACTTGACTTGAAATTGGTTCGGACCCGGTTAAAATACTCAAAAGGGTTTTTCCAAAGCAAACTGGGAATTTCAAGAATTTCTTACAAGACAATATTCCCATATAGTCTAATAACCAACAGAGCCAAGTTCTATGGTAGAACTATGAAATTATGAATTTTTTGAACTCTAGAGTCCAAACTGTAGCCCCCGATTGAACTGATCAACCTACGGGCTATGTTAAGATTTTCTAATGGCTGAACTTAGTTCTGTTTAGGCTTGTTTATGGGCTGGATTGGTCCAGGTTTTGTCTCTTTATCAATAGAAAATATGTAAGCCTAAGCCTAAGTTTGGCTCGACCATCACGCCTAAATCTTGAATCTGAGTTTGGCCCTTATATAAAGCTCGATACTTGACTTGTACACAAAATGTCTTATTTTCAACGTACTTTTATAAATTAATATTTATATTAATTTAATAATAATTTAACAAATTAATAAACTAATTTATATTTCCTAATAGTAAATCTATATTTATTAATAATTTAAGGAATAAATATATATTATATATAACATAAATGTTTCTTTATTATATGTAATAATATCAGGATGGACTTATTTGAAAAAGCCCGAGACCGTCCCCAAAAATGACCAGGCCTGGTATTTAAAGCCCAAGCCTGTCACATGCCTGAAATTTTGTCCAAACCTAAAAAATAATGGCCGGGTCATTGGGCTATCTGGCCCATGAACAGGTCTAATTCTGTCTAATTTGAGTTAAAGTTTCAAAAGAAAAAGAAAAATGTATCCTCTGGCACTGGCACTGAAATTTGGTGATTGAAAACACAAGATGGAGCTGCTGTAGGCAGAGTTTATTGACAATTAGCTAAAGTAGAGGGAGAGACTTGAAGGTAGGGTTGTATGTCAACACGGGTTATAAAGTCAAAGTCAACACTAAACCCCATATAGTCAACCTTAGCCCATCGTCCCAATCTAAAACTCCTCCCCCCTAATCCAACCCAACCCAATGGTGACATCTGGTTGACTGGTTGGGTTGGTCTTAGGTTGGCCCAATTTCCTTTCTTCTTTTTACTTTCCAAAAATAATGCCAATGGCTTCCTTGATTGTAGCCAATTAGGGATCATACTTCTCAGCTCTAACCCATTTGAACCCAATCCAATTTTTCTTATTGGATTTGACCAACTCAGCCCACAAATTGCTTCCCTACTTGAGGAACTTATTAGTGGAGTAATGGTGTTGAAATGCTGACCATCGCCCAATTTGCCAAAAACTATGCATACAGAACTGCCTTGTGACTCGGACCATAGCCTGGCCTCTAAGAAACTGCCTTATTGGGATAATGTGTTTCTTTACCAAAGCCCAACTCTTGAAACATTTAAAACTCATCAGGCCAACCCCAAAAGAGATTTAAGGCCCATGCTGGCACCCCATAACCCAAGACAACTGCCAGTGCATATACTATATACACTTCATTCATCAATGCCGAAATCCTTTAGGCCCACCACAGAGACACCTAATTCTTTTTATAATGAGGAACACTAATATAGTTTTCAAGTATTTATCAAAAAAAATAGAGTTTTCAGGCATAGAGATACAATCCAAGGCCTGCAATGGGGAATCATCAAAGCTGAGTTAATAGTACCAATTACAGACCGCCCAAATTCGATTTTGTTGAGATATATAAGTCATTGACGATGGGTCTAACTAGATTAAGTTTGGGGAGAAAACCTGGAATGGAATCTGCCCAGCATGCTTCCTACTCTTAAGTAAATGGCAAAAAAAGGGTATATTGCTGAAACCTCCCCTGAATCTTGTGATATAGTTGACCCTCTGGTAGAATCTTCTAAAAAAGAGGTATAAAAATGTCTAAAATACTTAACTTTTGACAAAAATGTTTATTTTTGCAAATTTTCTCTTCATATGAATCACTATCCTAACCCTTCTTATCTCTTTTATAAAATTGATATATTTTTCAAAATTGCCCATAAAATCAATCGCTCAAAGGGCTGTAGCTTTAAATTCTCTTTGTTTTTATTGTTAATAAAGTTTGTGTTGTTTTTCTTTTTTTTTTTTTTGCAGAAATCAGCCTTAGTAGTAACTGCATGAGTATTTTGAGCATTTTTGTGTCCTTTTTTAGAAGATTCTATCAGAGGGGTATACTTGCAACTGTATTAGAAAGTTCACGAGAAGTGATTGCAATTACTAAATTTCAAGGAGGTTTTAGCAATGGTCAGAAACTCTAGGAGAGGTTTTAGCAATTTACCCAAAAGAAAAGGAAAATCTTAAATGTGGGAAATTAATTTAGAGCTCAAAATTAAAAGAGTTCCCCAACTCTACTCCTTCCTTATTCTGTATTCATGAAAAAAAAAGCAGTTCAGAGCACCTGCCCGTGTTTAAGGGTGTCAATGGACGGGTTTTGGATTGGACCCCATCCAGTCTAAAATCAATTTGGATGGATTGGATGAACCAACAAGACATATTGGATTGGACCAATCCGGTCCAAAATATTTACTAGATTGGATTGGACCTGGTCCGTCCGTAACAAATTTATATTGAATTGGGTTGGATTAAGCCAATAACTGGTCCATTGATATAAGATATGAATATATGTGTCAATGGACTGAGTTTGGGTTGAAACCAATCTAAATCAAAATGAATTTAAACAGATTGGATGGTCCAGACATTAAATTGGACCGGTCCAAAACATTCATTGGATTGGATTGGACCTGGTCCATTTATAATGGACTCACATTGGACTGGATCGAATTGGACCAAATCCAGCCCAATTGACACCCCTACCTGTGTTCATGAAATAATTACCAAAATTTATATTTACATCTCCCCTGAAGTTTCTGGTTGTTGAAACCTCCCTTGAAGTTTGGTAATTGCAATCACCTTTCCTGAACTTTCTGACATAGTTCAAGTAGACTCCCTTTGTTAGAATCTTCTAAAAAAGCCCATGAAAATGTCCAAAAATACCTATGCTGTTACTTTTGACCAAAATGCTTATTTTTCCAAATTTTTTCTCCATATAAATCTTATAATCTCTTTTCTGAAATTGATTTATTTTCTAAATTTGCTCTTTATATCAATCGTTGAAACATAAAAGTGCAACTTAAAATTCTCTATTTTTTTGTTGTTTATATAGTTGTATTGTTTTTCTGTAAAAACCAGCCTATAGGTATTTTAGACATTTTTGTGTTTCTTTATAAAAGTTTGTAGGATGTACTTGCAACTGTATCAAAAAATTCAAGAGAAGTGATTGCCATTACCAAACGGGAGGTTTCAGCAATTTAAAAAAAACATTGGATGAAAAAACCATGGGATGGACCACAGAATTGTGAGTCACCATTATCAGATAATGCCATATGACCGATGGGGGTGTGAGCTTGAACATATAGCCAAGCCAATGCCCAGTGGGTTCCCTCATTTGACAGATGTGTCATCATCACAAACCCACCCACCGCCACTGTGACACTGATTACTTCTTTGGGGCCCAAAACTCCACCACAAGATCTTTGTCCATTGTGCCTTGTTCTTTCAGGAGTGCTAACGCAAAATTGAGAGTGTTTAAAAGTAAATATTTATTCAAATAAGCATTTATTTTGAGTCAGGACCATATTAATATAAGTATTTATTTGCGTTTGGGAAATGAGAAATATACTCAAAACAAGTGCTTATTCTAAGAAGCCGGAATTACCCAAATTTTGGGCTTATTTTTAAGGGTTTATTCAATAAGTAGCTATTTCCTTTCTAGCCTATCTTAGCCCACCACATCATTTTGAAAATATCTATATTACGCATGTGTTTGTTTCACTAAATATTTATAAGTGCTTATTAGAATAAGCACTTAATTTTAAACACTTATTCAATAATCACTTTTTTTTTATTTCTTTTCAAATAAGCACTCCCAAATAAGAACTGCTAATAGGGGTGAGCAAAAAAACCAAAATTTCGGTTTGGTGTTTTCAAAAAACAGAAGGTACCGGTTCGGTTTTAATTAACCAATACAGAAAATCAGCGATTAACCGAATCAACCAGTATATATATATTCTTATATATTTATGCATATTATATATATTTTTCGTAACTATAAATTAATAAATATGCATTATATATATAAAGATATATATTTATAATATATGATATATTATTTATTATTTAAAATATAATATTATATATTTATTTATTTATTTATAATTTTTTATTATATATTTATATATATATATATATATATTCATAATATATTGTAAAAAATAAAAAACCGATCAACCGATTAACCAATAGGTTTCGATTACCAGTTTTTCTTAAAACCGGTACTACCGGTTCGATTACAAAATGAGCCCCACGGTTCGGTTAACCGAACCGTAAGCACCCCTACCGCAAGGTTGTGTCCTTGATCGGTGGATTTCTGCGCCACCCACATTCACAAGAATCTATTTATTCAATTTCACAAACAAAAAAGAAAAGCAAATAGATATCTAGTAAACTTTGGATCAAATACGCCATGTTACAAACTCAACTATGTATTTATATAAATGGTAAATTTTCATTTACAATTTTTCTTTTCTTTGGTGTAAGAAAATTGGAAAAGCTCCACAGTAAAAGATACACATCCATGTATTGTTTCAGCTGTCAGCATCATTCTGAACCAAAAAAAAGGGGGGCTGGACAGAGGGAAGCTTTCTAGTTCTAGAAGAAATGATCAAACAAACAACCCTTCCGATCCACAGACACACATATCACATATGATATATTCATCCACTTGGGAGACAACCATCTCGCACTGAAAGCTTAACATTATAAAGTGTCAACCTTTTTCCTTTTCTACAAGGTCAACTCCTCTAATGCAGCTGTATCGCACTCCCTACACAATATCTTGTCATCCCCTCCCAAGAGCTCGACAGGCCCGTCATTCCCTTCTTTACTGCCGTGTGTAAGGTGCAGAGCCACTCTTTCTTCATCCAAACCCAGACAAGCTCACCGACCATTAATCGTTTCTTCGGTTGTGCTTGTTACATACTTTATGTTATCTGTATATAAAGTAAATATTCTTATGTATCATTCTTTCATTCACAACTGGACATTGACTCATTCTTTCCTTTTTTATTGAGGCAGACTCTACACGCGCTTTGGTAGAGGGTAATTGATTAGTGGTGACTGGGGAGGTAGAGGAGACGGAGTGGGAGAAGAGTGGAGAATATGAGTTAAAATGCAACTCAAACTTCAGAAATGTTCCTTGTGGAATTCGAACTTGGTAGAACCTTTTTGGTTGTATACCTGGCAGAGCTTCCTCAATTCTTGAGCTAACACTGGCATCCCGCAGTAGAAAACTCCTGTCAAAGAGATCACGTTCACACCAATATACTCAGAAATATTTTCTCCAATTAGAAGAGAGGGGAAATGTAAAATTGAAGTTAAAATAAATAGAAGAAAAACAGAGTAAATCGATTCGGATGTTGATGCTCTGTAACACACCTATCTTGGCATTGGGATGCTTCGAGCATATTCTAGAGAACACCTTCTTCCAGTTTGGCCTAGCAAAGTGAGTCCTCACCTGAATTGACAATTTAGTTCTGTTAGTATCTTGAAGATATCTGGTTTTGTAGTTACCCCACATCAGATGCCTGCATATGGTGTTAAGCATGTGGCCTCTAAAGGGTGTTCTAGCAGACAGTTGCTACCATTTCTCAAAAATGGAAAAGAAGTAATTCGGTAAAAGAAAAAACAATTTTAGATCTGACATGATATGCCCTTTCAAGAAACTTTGCAAGATTACTTTGATGTACAATTTAATTATTACGTCAAGGTATTTGGCAATTGAACTACACTGTTGTTCATTCTAAGTGAATAGTCATTGGATGTGAAACCGTCGGTACGGTTGCTAATGAGCTAGAACTAGAAAGCCAATCTTAAAGAGTCGAGAATGATGTAAATTGACTCTTTTCGGATCCCCATACTCTACCCATTAAAGAGAGCTGACCCAATACCTCATAAAAGATGGACCCAACAACTTCAGAACTTAGAAATAAAAAATAAATAAATAAAAATCAAGTAACTAACGTGTTCAGATACCAGGATGAAAGTAAGTGGTACAATGTGTTGTTAATAGCATTCAATTGCAGCATCACAATTTACCAAAGAATATTAGCATGCATCATGCAACTCAACAAGATGAAATAAATTCATAAACTAAATCATTGAAGGTATCATGATTCTTACTCTAGTCCCAGAAACAATGTCAACTCCATTCTTGGCATGGTTGAGGGCCTGAACCATTGTGATGAGAGCAGAACGGGCATCACCTTCCTCATATACACTCGTCAAGTAGTTGTGCATCTCAATCACACCCTGAAGTATAAATATTATAGATAAAGAACCACCTTGAGAATCTTAATAATGAAACAAAAATAAAGGAGACAGATTGTCAATTTTTATATATATTCTTACCCTCTGATCAAGCTCAGCAACTTCATTCATGACCCCTTTGAACCAGTCAAAGGAACCCTGTTCCCTAGTTACCCAGTAGAAATAGGCATTTGTTGTCTTCAAGATCTTTCTTCCCTTTTGCGAGCTCTTGCTAGTAGAGGATGAATCCAAGGTTCCAACACTCTGATCTGTTGTCCTACTGAAATCCAAAATCGAATCCTAAAAAGTAGGAAAATAAGTTTCTAATATCAGTATCTCTAAATGAAAGCATTCCATTTTAACAAAAGTAAATTCTTAAAAAACTTCATATTTTAAAAGTCTTCTGGATCAGGATGAGAAAATTAGACTACTCTTAGAAGAGTTGCACCAACATAATGTCCTAGATAACTAGGCATGCAACTTGGGTGGGCCTGGGTTTAGCATTTGTAAAATTTTGAAGGGGCCCAGACCAAGGGCCCATGCACAATGTAATGGAAAATCTTTAAATTGGGTACCCAACTTACACCCCTATAAGATAACCAATTAACCAACACCATTCCATCAATATACTCATTCAGACAATCAAAGCAAAATGCTGTGAATAGTCCTAAAAGAGCAAAATGGCATAACAGGATCCATGTAACCAACCCCATATAGTTGGGACAAGGCTTAGTTTATTATTCATACAGTTATGATCATTTAATTAGGTTGGATTTCAACTACTTACTGTGCCAACTTACAACTGTAGAGCATGAAAAGTAGGACAAAAAGTACTGACTAGACCTGATAATGATCTAATTATGTTGGACCACTAAGTTTCAAAGGAGACAATACATTAAGCAATGAAGACAGAGGGCAAATGGCAAAAAAGTATAATTTAAATAGTTTATGAGCTTATGTGAATCAAATAAATGATATAAGAATTTTGTTGCTTCAATCTCTTTAAGATTTAGGTTTACTTACTGCAAGCTCTTCCATCTTGACTATACTGTTGAGCAAATCTTTCAGAATACTGATGAAAGGCGTTGCTCCAATTCCAAGCCCAACAAGCAACAGGACATCATATTTCTGGTAGTCTTGTGCTGGAGCTCCATAGGGCCCGTCAATTAAGAGCTTTGGCAAACTATAATTTGATGAGTATAAAGAATCAGCATTCCACAAAACGACAAAAGAAAGATATTTAATTTAACAAAATTGCAATCATGGTATGTACCTTTTCTTGGTTGTTTCATCAGCTCTAAGAAGACCACTTTTTCCACCAACAGGCGGCTCACAAGCTTCTGAAAAAACCCTCTTGAGCTCTTGTGTCCAGTCACCCAACTGCCGGATATGAATGCTCAAGTAGTTATCATCAGGAGCTGAAGTAATTGAAAATGGATGCCTGTAATATGAAAATTAATGTTTACAACAGCATATCAGCATAATACATAAATTATACACAAAAGAAGTCATCTAGGCCAACAAGCCTATAGACAAGTAAAACCAGCATATCACCCATGTTACTTTTGTTTTCTTGGTTGGATTGCTTATCATGATCATAAATAACAAGCCTATAGACAGAATTTTGAATATTCCAAAGAAATGCAAAACACAGAGGACCTTTTTTATCTTTTTTTCCTTGTTTTGTTTTTCGCTTTTCCCTTACTTTTCCTGGAGGGCAAGTTAAACAGTGGTTGCTATGTTTTTGGTGAAAAGGGGGTCCAAAATCCAAAACCAAGGGCTGAGTCAGCAAAGGCCTCTCTATTAGTCACTGTAAGAATCTTAAGTTTAAAACTTATATGTCTGAATTACATATCTTGTCTAAATAAGCCTAGCCATTTGCAACATCAAACATTTCATATGTTCTTATGAAGAAGAAAAAAGAAGAGGTATTTAAGCAAGAACTTAACCAAGATGATAAATTGATAATCACAATATACATTTTCAGCATCCCTATTACCTTCTTTTAAGAATAGAAAAAAGATCCAAATTCAATTAAGCTTTTGATCATTACAGTTCACCTAAAAAGGAAATCAGTGCTTTCATTTGCATCTCAGGAGGTAATGTGAAAAAGATCGTATGCAGAAACAGATGATATTCAATATCTACATTGAATGGGATATATGCAAAACATAAGGTAATGTGAGAATTACCACTCAAATGGAGAAACAGCAGGGCACTGGACAAACATGTACTGGCCACTTTTATAATGGAATAGGGGAGGTTTGTACATTTGCAGAGTAAGGACATTACCAGGATAAATAGCAACCTGAAAATTTAAATAACAAAAGTCAAATATGTAAACAGTAATTCAAAAAAGCAATATAAGAGCTTAAATAAGTAATAAAGAACTCTTTTACCAAAAATAAGGTAATGAACAAGTAAAACCAGTCAACAGAGGACAAAATTGGATAGACTAAATAGCCAAACCAGAGAACAACCAACATGCATCGCCCACAGAATCAACACCACATCTTGTTTATGCACAATGCTCCAGAAACATTAGAAAGACACTTTTGCTATTACATTGGGTAACTTGGATGCTAGTACTTGGGATTATTGCATTTAGAACTAATGTTCTGTTCCTTTTTTCCAAATTTCATATCAATTCAGAACTCTCAACTCAACTAAGCCTATCCCAACTCCCAAGTATATAATCAGTTGCGTGGATCCTGTTTGCCATTCCACTCTGTTCAGTGCTATATCTATTGTTAAATTATGGGCCCTTGGATCATTTCTCACTACTTCAACTCATTCCTTTTTGGTCTGCCCCTAAGCTCTTTTAGACCCCTCAAATCACTTCTTCACAAACATGCTGTAGATGTTCTTCTCTGCAAGTGACAAAACCATCATAGTCTATTTTTCCTCATTTTATCACCCATGGAAGTCGGAACTACTCCCAGGCTCTTTCCAATAGATTCATTTTTTATTCCTTTCTCTTCTGGTTCTTCCACTCATCCATCCGAACGTCTACAAACAACCGAGAAATGTAGATCTACGGCCACGCAAAACTGGAAAAGTGCTCAGCACTTCCCGTTCTAGAATATGGATCAGTGCCCCAAAGGCTCAAACACCTAGCATACATTTATTGTGGCTTCAAATTGGGCCAATTTCGAGTCCCAAGTCCCTAGCAAAAGATGATGCTAGTAGGCCAAAGTGACTCATCAGTTTTTGACTTTTGATCAGTGATTACCTTCAGAAGGTGGACAGAGTAAAAGCCAGACCGGAAGAATCTCAGTGTCCTTTCTCCGGCATAAAGCAAAACAGGAATAGCTAGATACATCCATGTCTGCAGATTTTACAAACACAATATTAACCATCAATAAATTAAGCAACTAATTTAGAACCTGTATATAAGAAAGAAACCACTGCAAGCTAATAATGCAATATGTGTAGTTTTAAATTCAATAGAGAAGTAGAGCGAAGGAGGGTTTCTAGTTGTTACCGTCTTGAGGTACCATTTATGGACGAGGTAGAGAAAGAAGCCGTGGGCGACGAGCATAAAGTAGACGAGGACAAGAAGATGGTGAGAGTACCAGAATGCGTTGAAACCTGTCAGCCTGTCGAAGGGCTTGGGGAATTTAACAACGTTCCGCCTGAACCACCGCGTCGCAAGTGTGAAAGCCACGGCCATGCACAGCACCATCAGAATTCCAGTGATACCTTCGACGCCTCGGACGAGTTTCATGTAGGTGGGCTTGTGGCTCCCAAAGTCGTCTATCAAGTGTTCATAGTCATGGGCAGAAGCATGAATAAGCCGTGGGAAGTCGCAGCTGAGGTGGTTCCCAGCGTGAAGAATGACGCCAACTACAATTGCTGCCGCTATTGTCTGTACCAGAAACGATACGACAAAATGTATATATTTTTAGGGTAGATAATTCAGCAAATGTAATTAAGGATGTGATGTGCCTTGAATAATTAATAAAGATGCAGATCATCAATATAAAGGATATAAGAAATGTGAGTTCTAAAACAATTTGTATAATTGAAATTGATTAGAGAGAGAGGAAGGAAGAAAAGGAGCAACACAGACCAAGTACGCGATATAGTCCCTTTGCTCCATCCATACTAAATATTGCTTGAAGGAAGAAGCAGTGTTCTAGGGGTGTCAAAAATTCATTATGGCTGTCTGTGATGTGGTGTGTAATAGAATGGGCTGTGGCTAATTCTAAACGTAAAATATGGTGGATTTAGATACTTAATGTAAACATTGATTTTGATATAATTTGATAGTAATATTCATATGTGAAAATTCTACTTTATTAACTGAACTTTGGGGGTATTGTCAAGTTAGTACCCAAATTTTTAAACATATCACTGCAATATCCAAATTTTTAAAAAGTGTTAAATTGGTCTAAAACCATTAAACGCTAATTTTCTTATGATTGATATTTGATCTCTAACTAGTAACTACTTCCGATATCAAGTTGGTTATGATGAACTCTTGAAATGCAGTTGCCGCAAACGACTCAGACGGGCTCTTTGGGAAGAATACAAATGTGGTGCAGCCTCTAATTTTCTTCTGGAATAGTTGTAATTATTCTGCTTGTCAGTAAAAAAGAACAAATAAAAGAAAAATACTGATTGCATGCGCTATTCAGTTCTGTTTTGAACCTTTGATTTCCTCTATTTGTGTGCTCCCCAAATTCTGATTCCTATTAAAATGGCTTAGAAAATTTCCATTCAATAAAAATAACCACATAGTGTGCTCCCCCAATTTGGTGTGGCAACCAGTCAGTTAACACTAAAGATAGTGTTTTGCCACTACAAATTCAACTGTAGAAGATGGTAGCAATACCAATGCGTCATGGAATTCCTTCTGTCCTCAACTGATGTGTCGGAGCCGAACAAAAACCAGATGCATAGTGCTTGACCAATCCATATGGATATTAACTTGGCTCCATGGAATAGGAATAAGTTGAGGGTGGTTAACGACAAGGACCAACTTGATACTTTTTGAAAGTTTGGGTACTACAATAACACATTTGAAAGTTCAGGTACTAATTTGACACTACCCCCAAAGTCCAAGATACTAAATTAGAATTTTTCCTATTTATATTTTGGTAAAATCCCCGAATAGTACTATGTACTTTGGGCCTAGTGCCTGAACTTTAAAATGTGACAAATGACAATTCAATACCCAAACTTCAAAACTATGCCAATCTAGTATCTGTCGTTAACCAATTCGTTAATAAACCATTAAGTGGCATTTGAAAAGACACAAATGCCCTTCAAGTGTCATCTAATTCTCTTTATTAACCATCCAAATGTTGATAAAAAATGAACAGTCTCAAATCGTTGCCTCTTCTATTTAAGAAAGTTTGGGTCCCATCTCAGTGGACATTCTCGTAACCCCAACTTTCTTGAATAGAAGAAGCAAGGATTTGAGACTATTCATTTTTTATCAACATTTGGATGGTTTATAAAGAAAATTAAATGATACTTGAAGGGCATTTGTGTCTTTTCAAATGCCACTTAACGGTTGGTACTAGATTGACATACTTTGAAGGTTTGGATATTGACTTATCACATTTTAAAGTTCGGAGACCAAAATGACAGTACAGGGTACTAATTGAGATTTTGCCCTTATATTTTTAATTCAAATGCTTTGGAACATACCAAAGTATGAAAGTAGAGAGTGTATAGTGAATTCCAAAACCTTCATTTCAAATACACCACATTTTCCATGGCCATAGTATTGAACACTCCCATAATTAAAACAAGAGTAAGGGTGCTTTAGTCAATGTAACTACTCTATCACCTTGGTTCTTTAACAAAACGAAAAAAAACAAGTGATTCAAGAGGATATTGTTCCTAGAATCATAGAAGGATGATAGGAAAATAAAACTCAAGTTAAAAGTAAAAAAAATAATAAATAATTGTAAAGCTAATAATGTTGTATGGAGCAAAGTTGGGGCCAAGGAACAATATGTCCAAAAAAAAATGTGTGAAATTTTGAATTTTTAGATGAGTAACCAGAAAGATTAGAGCAAATAGGTTTAGAACCCTACTTATTCAAATATACTTATAAATGACTCCAAAAAGTTGAAAGAAGTTCACCAAGTAAATCTCCTTATAAAAAGAAATAGAAAGAAAAGAATGGGTAGTAATTTTATATCATATTACACATGTCAGTCAACATGTGAGACTCCATACTAAGGATAAACTTTAAATGTTTGAAAAAAAAAACCAGCTATGCTGTACAGCCTCTTCTATCCACACAAGGCTCTCTCTGCAATAACACATAACATGGACAGCCAAAGCCAAAACTTTCTCGTGTTGACATGGTTATGTTGACATATTGGGATAGGTAATAACATATATATGGACAATAAGTTAAAATCCATAGGACCAATTAGGACCATTCGTGTGCATATGTTGGGTCACAAACAAGGCATATATAATGGGCCACGTGAATACATGACCCACCAACAGGAGTGGACAGGACATGTCAGTGATCCATAGAAATGAAAAAACTTTTACTCCTATAAAAGAGGAAAGGCCGAAAGAGGGTAGAGATGATATGACCATATTTCCTTGTTTTCTAAATTTTTGTACTTTTCGGTGAGGTGGCTTTAAAATCCACCGTATTAAATGTTTACCTCTTTTATGATAGGAGCTAAAGTCCATATAAATAGGATGCGACGTGTTTTGCACATGTGGTGTGGCCTGTTACTTAACCTGTTCAATACGTCTTTGATTGAAAGCAATTTTGGAGTTGCATGCGTTGACATGGTTCGTTTTCACATTTGGATCAGCTGACTGCATTCCCACATCTTATTCCCATTTTTCAAGCTAATACGCTAATGATTTTTTTCTTTTTTCTTCACATCTACACAGAAAATAGAAAAGGCAATTTCGTTCCAATCTAACATGCTAAAGATTTTTACTTCAAATGAAGGCAAATGCTGTGCACAACAAATAAAATAAAATAAGAAAAGGCAAATGTTTTTCTTACGACTATTTTTTTTTTAGCCAGAAGAAAATGACATTATTTGGGAAAACCTGATATTACTTGCAAATTTAAAATTTTCTTCAAGAAACCCGAACATCTTTTTAGTAAACAAGAAATCGGCATGGTATGGGGATGTCCGTTTCGACTCCAAAGAAAATTTTATCTAATATGCATAAATATGTTTTATTTAAAAATTATAGAATAACAAATCAAACATACGTGTGTATCCATAAAAAATGAGCTATTCTATAAACAAAGACATGTTTCACAATACTGGTATCACAAAATGCACATTCATCTTTAATTGTTCAACTTGAGGCTTACTAGTAATATACCATGTCTGCAAACAATAATATGACCTAATGCGTTTTCTTTTTTTCTTTTTTTTCTTTTTTGTATTTGGTACCATGCACCATTAATAATTTTCCTCTTGACCCTTTTTTTCTCTAAAGTGCTGGGTGCAGGATTCGATTTAACATTAACACTCGAAACAAACCAGCTAATACATCAACAATCAACCCTCAATTGGTGCCTAGTGTTTTTTCATGTATAAACAATTGTCTTTTATAGGTATTACATCACATCACAAGATATTAATGGGTGGGAACAGGTAAGGTCCACCAATTTTGGTGGTGTTTGGTATTGTAAGAAAAAAAAGGTTTGGCCACATAATATAAGGGCAAATTGCTGAAACCTCTCCTAAATTTTCTAACCATTGCTGAAATCTCCCATTAAGTTTAGTATTTGCAATCATCTTTCCTGAACTTTCTAATACAGTTGCAATTAGACCCCCTTTGATAGAATTAGGGGTCAATTGGGCTGGATTTGGTCCAATCCGATCCAGTCCAATGTGAGTCCATTATAAATGGACCAAGTCTAATCCAATCCAATGAATATTTTTGGACCAATTTAGACCGATCCAATTCAATGTCTGGACCATTCAATCTGTTTAAATTCATTTTGATTTAGATTGGTTTTAACCCAAACCCAGTCCATTGACACATATATTCTTATCTTATATCAATGGGCTAGATATTGACTTAATCCAACCCAATCCAATATAAATTTGTTATGGACGAACCAAGTCCAATCCAATCTAATAAATATTTTGGACTTGATTGGTCCATCCAATCCGTCCAAATTGATTTTGGACTGGACGGAGTCCAATCCAAAACCAGTCCATTGACAACCTTAGGTAGAATCTTCTAAAAAAGTCATGGGAATTTCCAAAATACCCATGTAGTTATTATTGAGGCTGGTTTCTATATATGAAAAATAAAACAATACAAACTTTATGAACAACAAAAACAAAGAGAATTTGAAGTTGTAGCTTTACCTTTGAGTGATTGATATAAAGGGCAAATTTAAAAAATAAATCAATTTCAAAATAGAGATTGGAAGGGTTTGAAATAGTGATTCATATAAAAAGAAATTTTGAAAAATAAGCATTTTTGCTGAAAGTAACTGTATGGATATTTTGGATATTTGCATGCCTTTTTTTACAACATTCTATTGGAGGGAGTCTACTTACAATTATATCAGCAAGTTCAAGAGAGGTGATTACAATTACCAAACTTCAAAGGAAGTTTCAGCAACAACCAAAAACTTTAGGAAAGGTTTTAGCAACTTACCCCATAATATAATGTTACAATTGTTTTTTATTGTTTAATACAAATAAGCATCATTAAGCATCATAAGACACTAGAGAGGATAACAGTGAAAACGCCTTTACTAGAAGACACTAGACAGGATACCAATGAAAACGTGTATATATCCCGGACAGTTAAACCAGTGACCCACGACCTAGAGGTAAAAACAGTTCAACCTCGGACCAGTTTTCAAAACATTGCCAAACAATACTGTTGATATTCAACATCACCAAACCAAGACTTTAAAAGATAGCATAATGTAAATTAGTTTGTTCTAAAATCCTAGAATCAGCTACTCTTCTTCTTCGTTATAATTATGTCTTATGCCCATTTATAAGTAACTAGAGGGTCAAAATAGATCACCAATGTCCATCACCTTTCCTTTAATATTAATCTCCCCTTATTAAAATTTCCTCATATAGTTATAATATAATATAATTATTTAGATAAAAAAAAAAAGAAAAAACATTCTTTAGTTCTATATAATAACTAAAAGAAAAAACCCTCACCCCTATATTACAACTCACAAACAATAAAAGAAAGTAATAATTTTCAGGTCAACCTTTGCTGCCTAGTACCAAATCCAAAGTCAACAACCTCCATATATGTATTAGAACTTACAAGTTCATAAAGCAGTACTTTAAGAAAAAAATCACGCGCTTACGTGACAATTTATTCTTTATCATCTGATTGGAATTCAAAAGGAATCATGCAAAAAAAAAAAAAAAATCCAGACCAGTACTCCTCAAACATTATTTGTCAACCTGATTGCTAAGTTTAACCCGTCATTCTAAGTCGCTGCCTATTTTTCATCCATTTGGGCTGTGATTAGGCTCTGTAGAACTTCTTCTACATGATATGTTATCCTATTCAGTCCCCTATTTATCTTTTTGGTTAAAAGATAGTGAGTGCAATTACTCTTGGAACCCATCTAACATGGCGTCATGGAAAAGAAAAAGAGGAAAGAGAAGAGTGGAGGGTACCTTGTGAAAATTGATGTTATCGTCGAAGGGAACGAGCAGGGCGAGCTTGGTGGACCTGAGCCAGGTGATGGTGTTCCTACAAACGGGTAACAGGATGAGAGCCATGTTGAACTTCAAGGTCTCAGCGGCGCCCTTGGCCGTGAGGAGGCAGTAGCCCATGACCTTGAAGGCATACTTCTGCTTGTACTGAAAGAACTTCCAGAAGAACAGACCGGCCATGATGCACACCCACAACGCCAACACCAACAGCCTCTTCCAGTTATCCTCCAGGTAGTACATCACCTTGGTGCTCACCCTCTGAATCCGGCTCCGTTTCCTCAGCCCCTGCAGGTTCTGGCTCAGCGCCTGGCTCGTGTAGCTCAAGGCCTGGCTGTAATTCAGGTACGTGTCCTTCTGCAGCAGCAACGTCTCCAGCTGCCAAAGCTGCATCACCCACCACCCACCATCCATCACGCAATGCAACAAAGCAAAGTAGCAAACCAACCCATCAAAAATTCAAAATTATATATTATCTGAAATCACAAATTTGACCTGACCCATGATGATCACAATCATAAGCAGCTCTGCTACAGTCCCTACTCATTTGGCTGCCCACTCGAGCACGCCCTGTGTTAGTGCAAGAGTGCGTATTACGCATTCCACATGGAATCATGGGAACCAGCTCTCCCCCATTGTCCACTGACCCGCCACGTCAGATAAAAAAACAGTGGACTTCCCACAATTACCAAAATACCCTCACCCAAAACGTTACACTTATACCCTACTTCCATTGATAATTTCTTTGCTCATCTCCTTTCCCTTTCTCCTCTCTTTTTTTATTATGTGAAAAAAGAAAGAATTATATAAGAACGGACAGCTGTTCAAGTTCGAATATCATATGCATGCTAACTTGAAACAAGAAAACGAGAGCCAGACTTGAACTTGTTTACTGTATATATATTTTTTTTTCTCCAAAGTCAAGACTTAATTAGAAGCCATTATTCATCTCATAGTGGCTCTCTCTCTCTCTCTGTCTCTTCATAAAACAAAGAACTTCGTCATTGGTCGAATTATTAAATGATCTAAAAGAAAAAGTCTAACTCTCAAGCACCACCAATTTTTAAAAGATTTGATCAATAAGTGCTCGATCCAGACACCCAATTCGTTCTGGGCTTAATTAAATCATAATAATAACAATGCATGATAATTACTTGTATAGCTTTATAACCTACGTAGCTAAGGATCACCCACCTCGATGTAACCAAGGCCTTCTGGATCCAACTCCTCCATGATCAAGGCTGCATATTCCTCCGCCTGTTCCTTCAGCCTCGACAATTTATTTGCAGAAGCACTTAACATGATAATCTACAGAAAAAAAAAATCATGACAAGTTATTATTATTAGTAATAGTAGTAGATAATAACAAATTATTAAAGAAAGAAAGAAAGAAAAAGCAAAAGACACCATTTAAATTCCCATTATACCCTTAACCTACCCTCCTGAAAATGACCTCACTCGTTTTCCAGAATTTGGTTCCATTTGGATATTCATTTTTTGACAAAGGGAAATTTAAATCACAATTTTCAGAAGTAAAGAGAGGGTCAGAGTCAGACGTTGATCTTTTAGTTTCTTTCTTTCTTAGCAATGGGCAGGTTGGAGTTGTTGGTTTTGGTATTTTCGCTGATTTAAGTCCACCAAATCCTATCTACGTGATGCTTATTTTAGCACAAACCCCATATTTTATGTCTCAGCTCCAAGTGTTTATCTGCCGGAAACGGTCAGCGGCCCGATTTCTATCTCGCAGGAATCTGACAGAGTGATTTTACTAATAGTTTATTAATTATGCTTCTTGCTACGACGAGCATAATTTGTAGAAGAAATCAATAATGAATAATTAATTACACTTCACCGAGGTTGATTGATCGAGTTGTTTGCTGGTTAAAGTAGTAATTAGTGGTAATAAAAAAGGGAAAAAATGGATGGAGAATTGGAGAGATGAGGACGAGGTCCTACTGATCCTATACCTCTTTCACTTCTTCTTCTGTGATTCGTCCGTCTTCGTTCTTGTTAACCCTGCAGCATATGATGTACGAGTTAAGTTAAATATATTATTTAGAAAGAAAGATTATGATAAACAGAAATTAAAGGAGAAATGATTTCGTGTTAATTATAGTGCATACATGTCGAAGAAGATTTGGAGACGTGAATCGAAACTCTGATCGGTAATTTGACACCAGAATCCGTGAAGCTCTTCTCTACTGATCTTGTCGACCTTCAACCGTCTCCTCCTACTCAATGCATCGAAAAGTTCCAACGCAAACTCCTTTGAATCCCTCATTCCTTCAAACGACGCAAAAGATGGAATCAATATAACAAAAAATGATAAATATAGCAGCAACTTAAGTAGAATTCCGAAGAATTGATGATAAAACCGGAAAGTAAAAAAAGAAGAAGAAAACCTATGCATTGTGCGAAATCTGAACGGTGGAGAAAGCCGTCCTTGGCAAGCTTATCGAAGTTGTTCTGAACTTCGTTCCAGGCATCGACGCCTTGGTTACTGGTGTTGCTAATGAACCTCAGCCCTCGGAGCGCTTTCTGAGCACCAGATTTTGTTCGATCGAGCTGAGCTCGCTGCTTCCGGAGAGCCCGAGCGGCCAAAGCCGAGTCTAATCCGGAGCTAGCGCCGGCAGCATTCTGGGCGGCCGAGGATGGCGAAGAAGATTGTGCCCGAGACGCATGGCCATGGCCCCACGAGAACCTCCTAAGCTCGGCTTTAAGCTCCTGCGAGAACTGCCTGGCTTTGGCCACAGCTTCAGCTTTCAATTCCTGAGAGAACTGACGTAACCGATTCGAAGAACTCCGCCTAATCGACGGCGATCTCGATGACGCTGGAGTCTCACTCCCAGCGGAGACTTCCGCATCGATGTCAAGCACAGTAGCCGGTTCGACGCTCCGGAGAACGATGGTATCATCGCCCTGGAAATCAAGCGTCACCTCAACGAACTCCTCCGCTGACCCGTATTCCGTTCCAGGCGACGACGATCCACTGAATGTTTTAGCTGGAACTGTATCTGACGCCCATCGGCGTTCGTGTTTCGGGAGGCCCCTCATTATTAGTGGAAAATCCCACGCTCTGTAATTCTGTGCTGTGGTGGAGACTGGAGAGGGTCTAACAAAAGTATTCGGCTTTACCAATTATTTAAAGGAGAGAAGCCATCGGACGCGTCCGGAATCCCTCCGAAAAGACATTTACGCGGTGGCCGCAGCTAAAACGAGAGAGAGAGAGAGAGAACCAGAGATGTCTTTTGAGTGGGACTAAAATGGAAATAAAAAGAGTGAGGGGACGACCACGAAAAAGACAAAGCTTGAAACAGAGAGCCACTGCTAGTGCGAACGCTGCAGGGAGCCAGGGACCAAGGCCAAGGCTAGGATTGAAGATTGTCTTTATTTTCCCTTTATACTCTGTCTTGGTTTCTTTCTTTGGTTGTTTCTGATCCACCGAAACTTCCCGAAACGATATGTCCAGTTATACCGAAATTCTCCTCTGATTCTCCGTGACCGCATAAAGAGTTCTCTCTCTCTCTCTCAGCTGCTACCGTCCTCACCTTGCTAAAATCCAAAAGACAAAGAGAAGTCGTATGGTTAAGTAGATGAGAAAATCGTATAGTGAGGAAAAGAAGATAGGCAAGTGGGAAAATCAAGAAATGACGACGACCAAACGAGAGAATATAAGAAGAAATTTGAGTTTATTCATTCATCTAATATATATTTTATGATTTGGTGCTATACTTGTTATTGGACTTGGCCTCACGTCAAGACGATCACCCCAAAATGCATTTTTTTCTAATAAAGTTGGAAAGAAATGGGGATGCTGTTTTGCTGTCTTCTTTTGGTTTCCCGGGTGGAGAGCAGGAACCGCCCGGGTCAATGCCTGAAATGGTCATTTCCACCCATGGCCTATGACAGCAAGGAAAGAGAAGACCAGAGAAGAATGAATATTGTAGGGACTAGGAACATTTCAAGGGAAATTTTTTATTATTTTATTATCATGATTATGATAATTACCTTTCTTTATTAAGGCTACGTTTTGCTTCGAAGAATTGGATTGGGTTTCTGATACGGCTGAGATATCATTTCCATCCAGCTGAAGGTTGGGAATAAAATGGCGTCAACCGAGGGTGGGGTCACCCTCACGGCCTCACCTCACCCATGATCTTACGTGGTCGTGAGAATATTTGTTCACATCTGTGATCTCCCTGTTTCCAGAAGAATCTACTATTCATCCAGTTTGCCACGTGGTGTACAATTTACCCAAATTCCACAGGTAGCTTATTCAAAGAAGGGACATGATTTTCATTACAACGGTTTTGCCACGTCGCCATGCATTAGGCCGTTTCCTACCACGGGAGACTCACTCGCACCCAATGTGAGGCAGATGCGAGTCTGATATTCAAAACGTGCATGAATATTCAATAGTCAAGAGGGTTAGCGACAAAACACCTCATCGCTCAAGTTTAACGCATGCTTTGTGGCGAAGTTACGCCTTCTCCAACGCCGAATGTTTTTCGTCTGTAGACTCTGTACTTTGTAAAATACTGAGTTGATCGTGAATTCGTGATATACCACCACCTCCGCTCCATACACGTGGGTCATGATTTGATGACGTGGCGTATTATGATTGGCTCGACATCTAACTCGTAGGTCGGATTCGGATCATGGGAGATCGTACGGTACCCCACCGGATGACGGATACTAGGTGGGGCTGGGGCACGGGTTATGTGTCGGATCTAAGTATAGGATCCTGGTGCAGTAAATGGGTCCAATATAAGATTAAATGATGAAATTCGTACACATCCCATTTTTATAAAAGTGGCGCATCCCCCAGTGGAAAAGGACATTTTTTTTTTCTTTTGCATTTTAAAAGTTTGTACACTCGTGTTCATTCATCGTGATTTATCAAAATGAAAGTGACCATATCACTCATTTCTCAAAGAAAAACCCATACCGGATTCTCGTTTAAAATTTTACATTTTAACATTATGCGTGTATGTAATTAAATATTAATAATATATGATATATGGTATTTGAATTTAATTGTATATAATTTTAAAATATAAATACGATATATTAAATAAAGGGTATATCAATTTAGGGACTTCTTTTTTTATTACTATACATTAAACTAAAAATAATAAAACATGCACCAGTTAAAGTATTGATACACCTCTGTCAATACATAGAGGTGTATCAAAGTACCATACTTGCACAAAAACAAGGTAGATAGATGTTACCATTTCTCTAGACCCCAAATTTTACTTTAGGAACCAATAGATGAATGGAATTGGTACGACCTCTGTCTGGTTTTAGCTAGGGCTTATGGGTGTTTAAACGAATTGATTAGTTCAGTTTTGGTTCAACATTTTTGAAAAATCTAAGAAAAATCAGTGGTTAATTAAACAAACTGGTATATATGTTTACATTTTATATATATACATACATACAGACACACATATATATTTAATATATATCATATATGATATATAAACATATATGCATTATATATATATATATATATTATTTATAATTATCTATCTATAATATACTAGATTATATATTTATACATTTATTTATAAAATATATATAAATATAAAAAATCAAGAAACCAAAGAATTGAATTGGTCAAAAACCAAAACTAATTTGATTTTGGTTCGAGGATTTTCAAAAACTAATAATACTGGTTTATTATCAAAAATATACCCCACAGTTTTGGTTAACCAAAGCATTTACCCTTAGTTTTAGTAGAGACTTGGGATCAAATCCTATCGCTGCCACTACCAAAAGGGTTGGTGGGTTATAGGTATGAGAATCACTCCAAGAGAAGGGATACCCATCATAAAATTTCATTAATCATTACCAGATAAAAAATTAGATAACACAAGAGAGGACATAACCCACAGAAAAAAATAAAAAAACAAAGAAAATCCAGCATGGTCAATTAATCATAAGCTAGATTCTAATACTTACCATGGTCCTACCACGGCGAGCTTGGTATGACTAAAATTAAATTAAGGCTCAGTTTGGGAAAAGAACAAATACAAATATATACAGCACAAAACCTTGTACATTGTATTTCTAATGCAAAATTAAAGAGCAATAGTAGTATTCTCAAATAGAACGTCCATTTGACAACAGCTGAACTGCAGAACTGAAGGACTTATTGCTTTATATTTTAATGTGTGTATTAACACCTTAGGTAGGGGTTTAAATGGATCAAATTCGAATAGAATCAGGCAATATTCGAATTCAAATCCGATTAGAAAATCCGATATCCGACGGATATTGAAAATTAATATCTGAATTTGAATCCGATTAAATATTTGAATATTCGATTCGATTCGAATTCAATTAATTAATTATTTCAGATAATTAATAAATATATATAAAATAAATATTTTATTGATATAAAGTATATAAATATATAAATTATTTATATAACTTAATTATTATATATAAATTATATAAAATATTGTATATATTATATATAAGAATTAAAAAATAGGTTGGATTTGAATATTTATTGAATTGAATCAGGTCATATTCGAATTCGAATCCAATTAACTATTCGGTAAGAATAAGATATCCAAATTCAACCGATTAGATATTTAAATTATCTGAATTCGATTCTATTATGTCAAATATCGAATTCAAAACTGGATTTTCGAATACCGTTGACACCCCTAACCTTAGGCTGAGTTTGGAAAGAGTACAAATGCAAATATTTACTGTGCAAATACATAAAAATAATGCAAAATACAAGGTTTTGCACTCTACATATTTGCATTTGTAGTCCTTCCAAACTCAGCCTTAATGGTTGAAGGGTATGTTAGGTTGACAACTACTAAAAACTTTTTAATACAATTATTTTCTCCACTAAAAGAGAAAAAAATAAGCCATTCAATTCAGCAACTTCAGCCATTAAAATTTCTAGCTTTCTAAATGTTGGCTTGGGCAAAGTCATTACTAGGTAGGTATTCTGTTTTATAATATTAAAATTACCTGCATTCTTTGTTTCATTGACCAAGAGGAGAAACTAGGCCATGTTCCTCATTCTTTTAATTCTTGCTCATTCTAGGCAAGAATGAGCAAGAATGAACAGCATTAGAGTGTTTGGTTACAAAATTCTTGCCATGAAAAATAATCATGCCCCATCTTGCTAATTTTCCTTCTTTGAGGAAATTATGCCTACAAAAAACTGCTTCCATGTTAACTAGTGGATTAACATGGAAGCACTTTTATGAAAACACTTTTATAAAAGTACTTTTACACGAAAGCACTTTTATGAAAGAACTTTTACACGAAAGCACTTTTATGAAAGAACTTTTACAAAAGTACTTTTATGAAAGCATTTTTTGTAAAAGCAGTTTTATGAAGTACTTTTATAAAAGCACTTTTACGAAAGTGCTTTTATAAAAGTACTTTTATGAAAGCATTGTTGTAAAAGCATTTTTATGAAAGTACTTCTATAAAAACACTTTTACTGAAGTACTTTTATAAAAAACACTTGCAAAAGTATTTTTGTAAAAGTAATTTTACGAAAGCACCTTTATGAAAGTACTTTTATCAAAGCACTTTTACATAGGACACTTGTCAGTCTGAAAAAAAAAAAAGAATTTTTTTAAAAAAAAAAAGCATTTGGTTCATAGCAATATTTTCTCATTCTGCCTATTTTTACTCATTCTTGTCCATTTTAGAATTTCATCTTTGAGAAAGAATGAAAATTCAACCAAACAAGGCCTAACTGAACCGTGAATTTCCATTTCAAGGGGGAGAAAAGCATGTAAAGTTCAACTACTGTTCATTGATATTAGCTGCTCATTGAATCTAGATCTTAATCAATCAATCACACTAAAAACATCTTAATTTTCATTAATTCACATTTAACAGGATGTAGTTCGACGTGTTAACAAGATGTGAAGCAAAGTTATCATTAATCCATTACACAACCACCATAGATTTTGCCAAACATGTAATATGACCTATCCAAATACCTTACCCTTTCCACACAATTTCTTCAATGCTAATGAATTAACTTACAATATATATATAGAGAGAGAGAGAAGAAGGTCTTAGATCACCCAGGTGTATTAAATGCAAAAAAGAACTTTCAACCTTGAAAAAGATTAACCACCCAAAATTAATTAAAAAATATCTGAAGGCCAATAAGGTCATAAGATTTGATGTGATCATTATACCGTTCACTATTTTTCATGAAATCCTCTGCCTAACAAAACCAGTTACTTCTGAGTTAAGACAACCACGAGAAGTGGCCAACCCTTTCTACTGAAAATGGTCACAGTTGACAAACTCTATTCACCAACTGCTTTGCTCTCACATGAAAAGTCCATGCACTTTGTAGACACGACGAGACGTAGCAGAAATTTATCGACTTCCTCGTTCCTCCGTGATTAATTAAAGTGGACAAATAAGACAACAAAATGTTGTTCACCTAATGTGTTGATGATATCCTTTGGGCCTTTTACTTTTTTATTTAATTTCTACATTCTTCATTTTAATTGAAAGCATTTTCTTTGAGGAATTTGATCAA